AATCCATGGTCTACCACAGAAGAGTCACTCCCTCATCTGAACCCCTCCAATGGCTTTATTAGCAGCTTTCAGTGCTCTTAGAATAAGCACCTTCCTCCTAACAATGTCCTACAAAACTATCCTTGCTGGCCCTGTTCCCTTCACCTTCCTCGTCTCCTCCCACTCCCTTCTCCGTTGATAACTTGATCCAGCTCTACTGGCCTTCTTCCTTTTTGTCCAATTAGCATTATTAAAAACATTATCACTATAAGTTTTCTTCTAAAACCAAGCTCTGTCTTGGTTCTTAGTTTTGGCATTTGCTGTGCTTTCTATGAAGAGCATAGAAGTCCCCAAGTTTCCTCCGGGACTGAGCCCTTCTCAACATATAGTTCTCAGCCTAAGTCATCCCTACCCAAAGTCACCCCACCCTCTTTTCTTTTTTAAAATAAAATATTTTATTGATTTTTACAGAGAGGAAGAGAGAGGGATAGAGAGCCAGAAACATGGATGAGAGAGAATCATCGATCAGCTGCCTCCTGCACACCCCCTCCATGACCCTGTCCCCACCTAATCTGGTTCTCCCAGTAGCTCCCCTAGCTCTGTGAAAGGCACCTCTATCTACCAGGTCACCCTAATTACCAGCCTGAGCATCTTTTTGATTGCTCTTTTCCTGTTCCTCATCGGATCAGTCCCCAAGTCCCTGTAGTAAGTACCCTCACCTCCCAGTACCTCCCACTCCCAACATTCTGAGTCTGCCAATCCAGTCTTACCCTTCCCAGTGGCTTCTCCATCTCTCAGCTCACAAGATCTTTCATGATCTTATCCCTTCTGACCTCTCTTGCCTCTCACTCCCAGCAACACTCAAACTATCAGCAATTTCCCGAAGACACCATGTCTCAAGACTCTGTTCCCTAGGCCTGGAATGCCTTTCCTCCCCCTTTTGGCTTGGAGAACTCCTTATTAAGCTCCAATGTAAAGAGGCCTCTTCCAGGACCTTGCATCTGTTCCTCCCCATCCTCCGTGTTTAGCAAACCTCTTACTCGCGGATGTGGCCCTGGCCCAACATTCACTCTTTGTTCTGTAATCATCTGTTCATGTTTCCTTCACCTCTGAGGTTGTAGTGCCTTGTCAAGGACTGGTCCCACACCACGCTTTTGACAGAAGACTTCATGCCTCTCCTCCGGCAGTACCAAACGCATTAATGCCCAGTGAAGAAACGGGGTGAACCTGGGCCTGGATACCTTTCCCAGGTTTCTAAACCGAGGCGATTTGACCCACTCCTGCAGCCCAGGCATGGAAATCTGAGAAATGTGTATGACCCACCCCCGACTCCCTGGCAACCCCTCCCCCAGAGGGGGACGGCACAATAAGATTGGCGCCCCCTGTGCTTGCTCTCACTATACTTGCGCGCGTCTGTCTGTCCGCCTGCCTGGGCTGAGAGCTTCCCGGAGGCGGCACTGCTTCCCGGGAGCGGGAGCTTATGGAGCGTCGACGGAAAAAAGGCCTCGAACTTTTCATAGGAATAGTCCATGGTTGTGGGCGCTGAAGAGAGGAAGATCTGTGTGTGTGTGTGTATGTGTGTGTGTGTGTGTGTGCGCGCGCGCGCGCGCGCGCACGCGATCACTTTCTTTTGCCGGAGCGTCGAGATTTCTAAAAACAGTAACTTCAAGTTTTGCGAGAGAGTTGAGACTCGCAGGGCATGAAACAGTCGGTTGCCAGGACTACGGATGTGAACGCCGCCAGCCGCTGTCTTGCACTGGAGACTCGGGGAGCAGGGAGCAGACTGGCGAGGGGCGGAGATCCTGTGGATTCGGCTCTTTTCACCCGTCCTGGGAGGGGCGCTGGGAAACAGTAGCGGTGGAGAGTTCCTGGTTTGGCGAAAAGGCAAGCTTTCTTAGTTTGGCCCGGTGGCCCCTGAATCTGGAGTGGTAAGTCCCTGGTTTTCCAATAAACCGTGGGATCGTCAGCAGGTCTCCGTTTTTCCATCTCAGCGTTCTCATCCAAAGAACAGGCCCTGTTTTAGGAACCCACGTGAGTCGTGGCATATAGAGGCAGCTTTTTTACATGCTTTGCCACTGCAAAACAGCATGCCACGGCTGGGAATTACAGAATCCGAGAACCGGAGTATTAATAAATATTTGAAATGCCCATCATAAACTAAATGTGATCTATCCACACAATGGGATATTGTTTACTCATAAAAAGGAATGAAGTAACGGTGTAGCATCGTACTGCAACACAGATGAATCTTTTTATTAAAAATTTAAATGTATATATATATTTTTTTATTGATTTCAGATTGGAAGAGAGAGGGCAAGAATAGAAACATCAATGATGAGAGAGAATAATTGATTGACTGCCTCCCACACACCCCACACTGGGGATCAAGCCCGCAAGCCCGGACATATGCCATTGGCCAGAATGGAACCCGAGAGGCTTAATAAACATCATCTAATAACTGGATAAACTAAATGTGATCTACCCATACAATGGAATATTGTTTACTCATAAAAAAGGAATGTAGCCAAACCAGCCAGGGCAACATAGATGAATCTTGAAGACACTGTGCTAAGAAGCCACACACAAAAGGCCATATCTAATTCAATTTATAAGAAATTCCCAGATTAGGCAAGTTTACAGACACTGGAAGCAAATTAGTGGTTACCAAAGGCCCAGGGTGGTAGTAGTGGGGGAATTGGGTTTGACTGCTAACAGGTACAGGGTTTTTTTGGGGGGGAGTGATTGAAATGTTCTTGAGTGCTTTTTCTGGGTAAAATACCATCTTCACTGAAGTGCGTTATTTTTGTGACTCTCCACAATTTGAGGTATATATTTAGATCATCCTTATGGGCCACATTAACATATTAAGCACCCAGCCTGTTTTGTCTTCCGGGCGGAAAGTATAGTGTTAGTCACTGGTGACTAAATGGTCACTTTTGTAAGGCTCCATTTAAACACTTACACGTACTAACTTAAAAATCATAGGCACCATAATCCCATTCTAAAGAGGTTAGGAATCAGGTACAGAGGTCAGGCAACCTCACATGCAGGCCTGGCTGTGGCACTCCTGATGGATTCTGGGGGAGGGAATTTGACAATAGGCCCTGCCACACCTGATGCCCTAAACTTGGTGAGCTTGCCCTACCCTCCAACCCCAGCAGTGGCCTAGGGTTTCAGAGGCCTCTCTATTCTCTTAGCTGCAGTATTAGGGCATCTTGTCTCTACACCTTATCCCCTTTGTTCCCCTTAATTATTGTGTGTGCCTTTCTCTTTCCCTGTGAGGGCCTCTACTGAGCCTTTTCAACTTTGTACCCCTCCCTAGCACAGAGCTTTGCCTTGGTGAATGCTACTTTGGTATTTATTAAATAAAAAATGTTATGGGGAGTTATGAAGGTGATATTTGCCTTTGGTGTGTATGTGGCCAGTTTTCCTGTTCTCTGGTCAAAATCCATCCTTCAAGAGACAAACTTGCTCACTAAAATGGAAACAACCAACACCCCTGCAACACACTGCATTCTGATTTTATTCACACATTATCTGACAACAAAGGTAGTTTCCTTAACAATTTCTTTATTTATTCAATCTCTTTAATTTTCAAATCATACCTTAAAATGGCACTTGGTCATTGAGACTTGTTAATATGATTATTTTGTTTGGCGAGTTCTTTTATAAGCAAATGCTTCAGTATTGAGCTATAACATTATAAAACCTGTATTAAAAATGACATAAAACTTAAAATGTCCTATCCTCGCCGAAACCGGTTTGGCTCAGTGGTAGAGCGTCAGTCTGTGGACTGAAAGGTCCCAGGTTCGATTCCGGTCAAGGGCATGTACATTGGTTGTGGGCACATCCCCGGTAGGGGGTGTGCAAGAGGCAGCTGGTCGATATTTCTCTCTCATTGATGTTTCTAGCTCTCTATCCCTCTCTCCTCCTCTCTGTAAAAAAAAAAAAAAATCAATAAAAATATATTTTTTAAAAAATGTCCTATCCTCCAGCTGGAAGATGAAAGATGGTAATGCTTGAGTTTTCAAAAAGGGATCAAAGTATGAGCTAGTATGAGCTACAAGCTGATACTATGAAATAGAGCTTTGGGCAGATATTCACATCAGGTTATCAAATTAATGCTGGGGTCAAATCTCCAATTCCTAAATGCCAACACATGACGACAAAATAATCTTATTTTTCTTTTGGGGGGATTAGCTGTTTTTAGTCAACATTTATTATGTTTTGAATAGGTTATTGATATTTCACAGAGAGAGGGAGAAGGAGAGAGAAACATTGATCAGCTGCCTCCTGTATACCACCAGGGATAGAATCTGCAACTTGGGCATGTGCCCTGACCAGAAATCAAACTGGCAATCTTTGGGTGCACAAGACAACACCCAACTAACTAAGCCACACCGGCCAGGGCAGTAAATGTATTTTTAAAATTAACTGCCTAATACATACTGTACTATCTTCTTACAAGTTTGGCTACAAACTCTTTGATTACTTAATTTTAAAAATACTTATTTTAGAGAGAGAGAAAGAAGGGAGGAGGGGAGGGAGGACATATTTGGACAACACTCTAACCAAATGAGCTACCCAGCTTTTTCATTACTTCTTTAAAAAAAAAAAATTTTTTTTTTTAATTGATTTCAAAGAGGAAGGGAGAGGGAGAAAGAGATGGAAACATCATGATGAGAGAGAATCATTGATCGGCTGCCTCCTGCCCACCCCCTACTGGAGATTGAGCCCACAATGCAGGCATGTGCCCTTGATCTACAAAAACTACAAAACTACAGAATCGAACCTGGGACCCTTTAGTCCACAGGCTGACGCTCTATCCACTGAGCCAAACCAGCTAGGGCTCATTACTTCTTGATATAACAATTAATATCATTTTTATAAAAAGAGAATAAAAAGTCTAATCTTTCCTCAAGCAAGGTGGAAAGAAATTTGCTTTGTATTATTGATAGTTTAAAAAAGTATTTTTCACCTTCAAATCACATTTCACTATTGGAAAAGTCATATACATTTTGAGGATCGTTATCAAATAACAATTTATTTTTTAAAGAAATCTCAAAACATGTTTCAGCACGTTCAGTAGTAAAGATCTACCAGTGACACAAATATTAAGAATTAGGTTTCTAATTGGGCCGATTAAAACTTATATACCTGGAAACATAGTTGGTTGGCTTAATTGAGCTCTGAAGAGTGAAAGCAATATATAAAAAGTGAGTTTTAAAACATCACAGAGTTTTTAAGACAGACTTAATTTTTCATGATTTTCCCAAAGCCAGTCATGATATTTATTTAACTTATGGTCTTCAGGGTGCACCTGTAAGAAATGAGTAAGTTAGAAATACATTTATAAAATTGATTTTTTAAAGATACGGTGGGAGAACATACATTATGATAATAACCTGAAAATTATAACCTTTAACTTAACTGGATTCACAAATGTTTAAAATGATACCTTATATTAAGGTAATACTTTACAGTGTATAAAGTACTTTCCAATTTAGTACTGATCTTCACCAGAACCTGGTGCATGAAGGAGTGATAACATGACCAAGGAATAATATATCATTTCCAGTAGGAGGTTATTGACTCAGAGTTAAACGAATCGCTCAGGTCACAATAAATGATGGAGCAGGGTTGGGCTTGGCCAGACAGACCTATTAGCTGATCACAGACTAAGAGGGCAGTGTAGCAGGCTACCTGGCAGTGCTTACCAGCACTACACACCCAGATGCCCATGTGCTAGGCCAGTGGTCGGCAAACGGTGGCTCTCGAGCCACGTGCGGCTCTTTGGCCCCTTGAATGTGGCTCTTCCACAAAATACCATGGCCTGGGCGAGTCTATTTCGAAAAAGTGGCATTAGAAGAAGTTTAAGTTTAAAAAATTTGACTCTCAAAAGAAATTTCAATCGTTGTACTGTTGATATTTGGCTCTGTTGACTAATGAGTTTGCCGACCAACTAAATAGAACGGGCAGCTGAAGTAGGATCCAGTTACCAAAAAAATAGTTTGAGACTATTAGGAGAAACCCTAGTAGCATTCCAAGCTCAGACCTGCCTGCTTTCCTGTGGTGTACTTTTAAAGACTCGTAGGATTGTGACAGGAAGAAAACTACATCAGGCTTAGAAACATTACATGAATGTAATGACAAGAACAGGGCCAAATGACAAACTGCTGGAGGTCGGTCAGAGGTCACACCAAGGAGTCTTTATGGACTTGGGAGTGTCTATGGATCCTCTCCTTGCTGCCGATAACTGCATGCCACCCACTGCCCCTCAAGTTTGGAACAAAATTGTTTGTGACTATAATAGCATGTCTGTCCAACAAATAGTTTTAGCCATAATAGTGGTCTTATTTTGCCTCAGAAACAAGAGATGTTCTAGCTGCTAGTGAACCTCACCTGTTTCCACTCATTGACGCAAAAAATTCGGTAGGAGTCGTTGCCATATTTGCCAATCCCATGAAGCTCAATTGGATATCTCCACTGCTTCGTCAGATACTCATCTGAGAATGCAACAGCCCACATATCAGACCAGCCTCAAGAAAGACACTTTCCCCAAATGTGTGGTAATGGAGGAGAACAGCAGAAGGGGGCAGGGAAGAATCTTTCCTAACAACCCCAGTTGTGATTGCTCTTTCTGCCGAGTTCCTGAAGCATCTCTGTCTGAATATCTCACCTGCCACTTACTGACCATTATTATTTTGTGCTTACTCAAAGAGGTACTGTCCTGAGGGATTTCTGCTTCAATGACTTCTTCCTCTAATTATGCTCACATGGCTGGGCAAAGATTTATTGCATGGGTTGATGGGTGACTGTGGCTTGGGGTAAGTGAACTGTTTTAAATGCCTTTGGTGCTTGAGCTGAACGATGTCTATTAATGTGGCATCCGTGGACATAAAAACTTAAGGTGTGGCTTTCTTATGGAAGCACAGTTTATGTTTTTCCTTTGGGTATGTGGGTATTACCTGAGAACTTGATAATGGTTTTTGCTCGAAGTTCGTAGAGACCGATAGGTTTAAGAAGTTCTGACACCTCTCTCCAGTCTGCAGTTCTTGTTATCTCAGCTGAAGGATACTTCTCCAGAAACTCCCAAAGCACAGGAATTGCCATTTTACCTGGATGTAAAGATAACTATGTGATTACAAGCCTCCAGATGGGCTAATTTATGTTCAGGTACTTCCTCAACTAGAAATCTCATATAGAGCCTTTTTTTTTTTTTTTTTTTTTTAATACCATTATTGAGAAGTCATTACCTAAACCAATAACCACTTTGAGAGTGAAAAACCAACACCAATAATCTATTTGGTTAACAGTCCAGATTTTGCTGAAACCTGACCTTACATAATACAGGGGTGGGAACAAGTAGTTGTATGAGAAACAGAGTTTTTTTCTTGTATTATTTATTAACTAGAGGCCCAGTGCACAAAATTCGTGCACAGATGCGGTCCCTAGGCCTGTCCGGGAATGCGAGCATCTGGCATAGAAGGGCAGATCCCAGCTGACCTCTGGGCCCTGGGCAGCACCTGTGCCCCCAAACCCCCATGCGCCTCCCTCTGCCTGAGTCACGGTGCCCGAGTCCCCACGCAGAGATGTGGTGAGTGTGGCTGGATGCCGCAGGCCGGGGTGCAGTACGGGCCTCTGGGCTGCCCAGTGGTGCTGCACAGAAACCGGGCAGGCAGCCTGCTCTCTGAGCTCTCTCCTGGCCAGCCTTGCAGACCAGCTCCTGCTTGAACCCACAGGGAGCCTGACCAGCCTGTGGTCTTGGAGGCTGTGGCCTGGCACACTTGGAAGATGCTGCACGGATATGGGGTGGGTTCCTTGTGGGTGCCCAGTACATGAGCACAGGGGGCTTCCCGGATGTGTGCGTGAGCCCTGGCATTCCGCTGGAAGGTAGCAGGGGGAGTGAGATCAAGCTTGGTGGACACCCCGCATTCTCACCACACCTTCATTCCCATCACCCCTGCACCTAGGTAGCTGGCGAGAGGTCGCAGCTCCTGCCTGAACTCCATGTCACCAACACCTGCCATGTTCCGCACCGGCCCCCCCACCCCCTGCCCCACCGTGGTCAGCACATGCCATAGCAAGTGGTTGAACTCCTGGTTGAAAGACTGCCAGAGGGGACAATTTGCATATTAGGCTTTTATCCTAATATAAGGATTATTGTATGAGTTATTTTAAACCTACTTTTGCCCACACCTGTATTAGTTTTTACATAATCAAAGCATCAGATAAATAGTGTAAAAGCATAAAAAACAGAAGGTGTCAATGACATTAAAGAAAGCATTCAATGAAAAAATGCTTTTATACATGTCTAAGGGTGGAGGGATGTTACGTAATTGATTTTCATTGATGACCAAAACTAATCTGAGAGTAGAAAATAAATGAAAATCAGCTCCTTAGTGCTATAAAGGCTAGTCTAACATTCTCATGGGTGAAGAGCTTGAGGGCAGAAAGGGGAAGGCTTTTACCTGAGGTCACACAGACTCAAAATCAAACTTGAACACAGGCTTCCCAATCAACTCAGTGCTCTTTCTCATCATACTGTCTCTAATAAGGTACAGATTAAAATAATCCACAAACCTGAGGTGCGATTGAGAAATATAGTTGCTATGAGGAGCTTCCATGGATCGTGAAAAAGTGTTTCTTGGACAAGATTAAAAGGTGACCGAGGAGGTGTCCACTTCTTAAAGGCTTTACGACGTGGGGGGCTGAGAGCTGAACAAACACAATGCATCAGAGTTGGATATCTGAAATAGGTTTAAAATCTGATTTTCTGATTGGGAAAGGATACCTTCTTTGTTATATTTGCTGGAGAAATATAGGCTTGTTTTCCTTTTCTCTACTTGTGTCCGTGGGATGGTGTCTTCTGAAAAGGAAGAGTGAACATTGGTTGTAATAGAATCTATGGTTTTAGCCTAAAGAAATATTCAGGTATGCAAATAATAACAACTATTATTATAAAGCATTAGGTGTTTGCCAGGCAGTATGCTAAACACTTTACAAAAATTAATCAATTTAATCCTACAAATGACTTCTGAGTTAAAGGACTATTTAATCTCCACTCTATAGATATGGAAATTGAGGTACAGAGAAACTGAATAACTTGCCCAAGGTTAAGGAAGTAGTAGAGTTGAAATTCAAATCCAGGTAGTCTGACTCCTGAGTTCAGGACTTTAACAACTCCATTACATTAGTTCTCTATAACTTATGATCAGAGTTCATAGTATTGAAACACTGGAAATAATATGGAATATTTTAAATTATGACACTTTTGTACTATGTTGTCATTAAAATATTTTTGAGAATATGTCATTGAAGACTTTCTTACATCTTTAACTTTCAGGTGAAAAAAAGCAATATTCTACATGTGACCCCAATTTAATTTTAAAAAGTGTGTGTATACACACACACACACATTTATCTATACAGTATGTGTATATATACACATATATACATACACACATTTACATATATAGTATATATACATATATACATATATATTCACACACAAATATATACACACACACACACACACACACACACACACACACACATATATATATATATATATATATATATATATATATATATATACATTTACAGAAATTAGACTAAAATAAACCAAAATGGCATAATGGTTGTTTCTGAATAGTAATTTTTTTTTCTTCTTAAATTTTCTAAAAATTCTGCAGTGAACATTTTTACACTTACTAAAAAAAAGGGGTCGGGGGGAGAATATAGACAAAACAGAACCCGTAGAAAAACCTAAGGTCACTATCTTCTAGGAAATTCAATTAATTTACCAAAGACTATTTGACAAGTGTTATCAGGCTTCCCGTTTCAAAAAAACAAAAATCACATTTAATACTCCCTTTAGCCATATCCTTTAAATTTGAATGTCAGTTAATAATACCTTTTATTTGCATAGTGTAAAGCCACCTTTTTCACTTCTCATTTTACTTTACAATATTCTTGATATGAAAGAGCACTAGTAAGGGTTATTATTTCCATTTTACAGTTGATGAAACTAAGATTTAGAAATTAAGCAACCGTTCCAAAATGATAGTGGGAGTAACTGGAGACTGGGCCAAGTATCCCATTTTCCAGATAATTAGTTTAGGGTTTTTTGCCTTTCAAGTTTAAATAGGTAAAACCTATTAGAAAGTTAAAAAACAAAACAAAAAAAAACCAACAAAAAACAAAGGAAACTGAGCTTACTAGCTATTTGATAATTTTTTATGGGTTTCTGTAAATAATTAATAAATTACTGGAGACTGGGAAATTTCTACTTAAACCAGTGGGAGAGACTTTACTATTACACTGAACATCTGTTAACCTAAGGGTACTTCAACTTATATTGAGAACTAGACTTTATGTATAGGATAAATAGATACTTCTATTGGAATTGCAAAAGAATGTTTTTAATATTTAATTTTTCCATTATACTAGCAATAAACCTATAAATGCCTAAGGGTTTAAGAAGCTCAAAGTCTTTAAAGAACAGACGTGAAGAATTCTTACGCAGGTCCTAGATATATTTGGCCACCTTCTGTTAAAGGTGGAAAAATTCCAGGTATAGCAAAGACATAAAATCATGAGTGGGCCTGACAGCAGTGGGTCCTGCTCCACCAATTTGTCCAGGCTATCTCTTGTAGGGTTTAAGTAAAATTACTTTTGTTCTTTAAAAGTTATTCATTATGGCATAATGAATAATATCAGGGTGCTCAAATGGTCTCCTTTTTATTTCTTATTCACTGAGGTATTATAAAGGCAAAAGTCCTCAGCTCTAAACTATAGTACGAATAATAGATGAACTATGTAAGTACAGTTTTGAATTATTTAGAGCTCTAAAACAGTTTAGAGAAGCATTACATCATCATAGATGATAAAAATGACTATGATATATATGAAATTGAATTGGAAGTCACACATCTGTAATAAATATTCTCAACCAGTTTATATATTAAAGGAGTCTTCCCCAAAACTTTTCCATGTGAAGCCTTTTCATTTCCCTCAAGTTGTAAGGTTACTGGCCGGAAAGAGGGGAAGAAGGGAAAGCACTGTCCAGAGTCCGAGCTGCTGCACCAGGGAGAGATGTCAGCAGCTGCTAATGGCACAGTTCTCCTTTACTGGGGCATCAAGGCAGTAGCCAGCTAACTCCCTCCGCCATAGGAAGGGGTTTGAAGATCAGTTAGACAAGGTACTAGGATCAATTGGTAGAATAGATCTCATTTTTGGCCCTACTTCTTCATTCTACTCCCACATCTTACCCGGTTACAGGCATGAAATACTGTATCCAGGAATATAAACTGCCTCATCACATCTTAAATAGCATTTTAAATGCACCAAGTACCTCGACATATTTTAACAGAAGTGGAATCTTTCTCAGTTTGTGAGCAGTTGTCCATTTCAGAGCCACATTCTAAACTGTCAGCATGCAAATGTTCCTTCCTTTCCCCAACTTCTACTGTTGTTATTTCCTCAGGTTCTAAAAAGGTATTCTCACACGTGTGTTCTGCTTCTTTGGTCGAACATAATTTGTTTATGCTGCCCGAAGTTGTTTGTTCAAAACTAAAATTTGATCCTGAACGCAATGATTTTTCTTTTACAAGTCTCTTTTCTTTGTTGGTCACATGGATGGTCTTGTTGCTTGCTCTGGAATCAGAAACACATAGAGTCCTGTCAAGCTGACTTTCTTGTGCAACAGATTCACTTTCAGCTTCTGCCTCATTACACACAGATTCTCCTTTTCTGTTACTTTGAACAGGATCTGGAAAACTCTTCAGGCACCCTGTTTTAGTTTTCTTAACTTGAATTTCTTTCACAGTAGTCCTCTTCTCTTTGGACTTTCTAACCTTTCTGGCGTCAACATCATTAACACCGTCGCCTTCTTTCAAAAGCAAATGCATGGAAGTAAAGTTAGAGAGTTCCCTGCTAGCTTGGGACTCCAAACTACCACTTGGCAGAGGAAGCACATCTTTTTTCCACCTGATTCTTGTCCTGAGGTTCCGGTTTGAAATGCTACTTTCATTTTGCAGGTGGGATGTCAGAGCTGCTGGGCTGCAGTCTTTATCATTTGACTTGGTGCCCCTTTTAGATGGTACAGTAAAATCAAAATCCTCTGGTTTAAGAGACGTCTCTTCATTTTTGTGAAGATAATTAGCAAGTGAACTTTTGGATCTGAACTTCAGTCCTTGTGGGCTAAAAACGATATTAACGGAAACATTGATAGTAAATAAAAGTGACTTAAAAAGAATCAGACCACGTTTCAGATGTGTAATTAATAATTTCCAAATGTTGCCAGGGGGTATTTGTCATTTAAAATAAAAATAGTGATAAAATGGTATTTTTAAATAGTTTCATCTATGAGGAGGAATATGATACTATAAATTAATTTTACAAATATAACTTAAGTGCAACTTTATCATTAACCATTCACAGTAGGAGAAAATGTATGTACTTGTCCCTAAATCACTTGATAAAACTAATCAGTGACATTGAAGGAATAGAATCCATAATGGTTTTACGGTAATAATAGAAAAAAGTCAAGATACCTGCTATCCTTTCACACTACCTGTTTAAACAAAATTATTTGGCTGCACTATCTTTACCACTTTGCATGCTCACCTGATAAAATATACATCATATCTCCCGGCTGTTTTTCCAGATAACCTTTGCTTCACAATTCTTTCCCATCCACAGGGGACAGACTTATGGCATTCTGTCATTTCAGCACCACCACACTGAGCAGAAGCAATGGGCTCTTGCAGCAAGAGATTACACTCACTGCTGCTTATCACCATTTGTTTTCCATCTTCTACTCTTTCTGATCCCAGAGCATTTTCCTTCCTGAAAAAACAAAGTATAAATGATTAGCTTATTTAAAATTGATTTTATTCTGCGTCTTCGATTTAAATCCATGACAGAGCAGGAACCACATGTCGCGATAAGGGCCATATTGATGTGGAGAGATAAAACCAAACAGGGGTGAGGATTTGGATTATGGGAGAGATTAAAATCAGTATGGACCAGTTTTATGCTACCCTGTTTCCCCGAAAATAAGTGTCATATTAATTTTTTCTCCTAAAGTTGTGCTAGGTCTTATTTTCAGGGGATGTCTTATCTTTCCATGCGCTAGGTCTTATTTTCGGAGGATGTCTTATTTTCGGGGAAACACGGTGTGGGAATATCCTTCTGCCATCCACTGTCTTCCTATCTCTAACATGGGTTAAAAAGTGCTGCAAATCTCTACACAATGAAAAGCTCAAGCTATTTGCTAGAAACTTTTTAAAATTAATCAGACTTCTGATGACACTGGTATAATTTAAAAAATATGAACCAAATGCTGAGCTCAACCTAGAATCAACAGACCTGCTTACATGAGTCAGTGAAGAATCTTCCTCTTCCCCAAATAAATGAGGTAAAAATGTTATATATATACATACATTTTTCTCGGGGAGAGTATCACTTTCACCAGATTACTTACCAAAAGGTAATTTATGATACAGATTTTTCAAATCTCTTTCATTCTTGATCCTCATAATCTTATGAGGTAGGTTGGATAAAGATTACTCTAATTTTATTGATAAAATTGAGTGACAGAAAGATTAAATTATTTGCAGAGCTGTTATAAGAACCCCGGTCTACTAAATCTAATACTACTCCCCCTGTACTATTATTGAAAAACTTCAGTAGAGTATATCCTAACCACTAAATCACAAATTTCAAAACCTGAACGGGTTACAATGATGTCTACTACAACTTCTAGAAATAGGGAAACCAAAGAGCTCCTAACGAAAATTAGAATCAAAGCATGGGTCATTTAATTTTGGGAAGCTTGGTGGAGCTTGAGAAATTATATAGTTCACAATTTTAGAGATAAGGAAACTGAAATCTGGTGAAAAGAGTACAAAGTCAACATACTGGGTTCAAATCCCAGCTCTGACATTTACAAGTTCCTTAACCTCTCAGTCTCCTTTCCTCGCCTGTAAAAAGGAGGTAATACCTTTTAAGGTAATTCTAAGGATTACATTTTCAAAGAAAAATAAGTCACTCACTTTAGCCCCAGATTGCACATATACAAGTACTCAATACATGACTGCAGCTTCCTCTGTTACTTCTCATAGGACACACTTTTGGGGCGCTCTTGGCTGCTGGTCATGACCTCTCCTTCCTAGGACTTCCTACTCAGGTAGACGTCTCCTTGTACCAACTCCCTGCTCCTCCCAGCTCTCGTCATTTTGGGTAAGAAAGTCGGGAGCACCCCAGGGCTGACCCCACCAGAATAGTACTTAGTTCCAGCCTTAATTCCTAGTAAGGAACCCGTGAGCCCCGAGGTCTCTGTGGACTCTATAGGAAAGGCCCACCAACTTCTGTTCCCCCGCTCCCACTTTACAAGCGGTGAAACCGAGACCCAAAAGGGGGCGATCACTTGCCGGAGGTCACCCGGCCGCTCCGGGTCTGGGCTCTCACTAGGGGTGACGAAGGGGGCAGCTCCACTGTCTCCCCGGCTCGGATTCTCCATTCCAGCGGACTCCGGCTGCACCAAACGGGCCAACAGGGCGGGGGACAACCAGGGCGTGGAGCAGAGTAAGATGTAAAAATGCCTTCGGCTCAGAATGCTAGAGGCTAAAACCTAAAGCTGAGGGCGGTAAAAATCTGTCAAACTCCATAGCCGCTTCCTGGCTGCCCGCTCCGCCTCAGCTATTTCCACCGCTCGGCCAATAGAATCCTTTTGTCGAGGAAGACGCCCCGCCCTCCGCCCATTCTGACCAATCGGGCGCGCCCCAGTTGCGCAGACGCGCCTGCTCGGCTCCAGTTCCTATCCCCGCTTTTCGCTCCTTCACTAGCCCTCCTTTTCAGACATGCGCACTTGGTTAACACGCTAAGGCGCGCGCGTAGCTCACTGCGCATGTGCGTTGTCAACGGTAACCCAGGTAGCCGAAGTGGCGGGCGGCGAGGGCCGAGTTGCTGAGGCGGGGAGGAGGGGCCCGAGGCGTGAGGGAAGGCGCAATGAGGGCCGTGTTGACGTGGAGAGATAAAGCCGAACAGTGGTGAGGAGCGGGGCATTCCGGGAGGAACGGGAGGTCCAGCCCCGGCGGGGATGGCGGGAGCCTGTGCGTGCACTCCTGTGGTTGCCAGGGGCAACGGGCCGGCGGCCTAGGCTGAGGGCGCTGAACCCCGGGACTGGGTGGCTGCGAGGTCTCTTCCCCCACCCCACCCCCTTTGCAAGTGGAGAAACAGGCTTGGAGAGGAGGCAGAGGAATGTACACACATCACAGTTTGGTCCTGTCACTCCGTTATGCACATTACGCCCTGGGCTCCTTTTTTGCATACATGACATGTTTCTCCAACATATTTGCCTTATCCACATATTAGCCATACTCTTATTTACTTGATGTTTTTCTTCTCTAAATGGTCCCTCATATCTTCGCCTAAATAATAAATATCACTTGCTATAATAAGATAACTGCAAAACCTAAGCAAGGAGCCGTGGCCGAATTGCTCAGTCGGTTGGAGCGCCTGATGCGCCAAAAAAGTTGGTTTGATTTCAATTAGGCACATACCTAGGTTGCCGGTTCAATTCCCGGTTGGGGTGCCGACAGGAGGCAACTGATCGATGTTTCTCTCTCTTGTTCTCTCTCTTTCTCCCCTCAATTGGTTGAGGTGGTCCTATGCACCAGAAGGTCCCAGGATGGAGTCCTACTCACAGCACATGCCCAGGTTGAGAGCTCCATCCCCAGTAGAGGGCGTGCATGAGGCAGCGAATCTATGTTTCTCTCTCATTGATGTTTCTATCTCTCTGAAATCTATAAAAATACATATGTTTTTAAAAAGCATATCGCCAGTGAGGATTAAAAAAACAGACAACTTAAAGCAAGGAGAAACAGAACTGCTGGTGAGTTGTAGCTACCCTGTTTCCCCGAAAATAAGACAGTGTCCTATATTAATTTTTTCCCCCAAAGTTGCGCTAGGTTTTATTTTCAGGGGATGTCTTATCTTTCCATGCGCTAGGTCTTATTTTCGGAGGATGTCTTATTTTCGGAGAAACACGGTAGATACTGTTGCTATGGAGCCTTTAAGCCTGAGGTCTACTCTCTCTAGAACTTGAGATTTAGCAAGTATGGTCAGAGAGGTGCTTGAGATGAATAGCATCAAACCCAGACGTTCCCCTGTGCTTAATTAGAAAGTTTGAAAGAGAATCAAAAGAGAATGACACTCACCTTGTGATTCTCTTATTTAATGCCCTATTCCATTTTTTATCACCTAAATTCATCACACAATGACACATTTTGGGAAATACTGACTTATTGGATAGTTCTCCTCAGCTGAGTTTTAAAATCTTCACATAAATGATCTTTTCAGCTTCATTGTGAAGCATTTGTTTTGGCTCTTGACACAAGATATTTGCCATTCCCTTTCAGTCTTTTCTTAGGCTTTTCTGTGTGGTGTAAGCATGCCTTCTTTTCTCTTCTCACATTGAAACCCGTTCTCTGTTCTGTACTTTGCACTAGTAATAGCTAACACCATGTGCCAGGCACTGGTTAAAACATAATATCTTTGATCTCATTGTCACCTTAAAACAACCCTCTGATATAGGTCCTATAATTTACCTCTATTTTACATGTGAGGATACTAAAGCACAGAGAGGGTAAATAATTTGCCAAGGTCACACAGTGAGCCAGCATCCAAGCTCAGGTCTTCTTCATTCCAAAGCTAATGCTTTTATCCACTACTTTAATTTTTCTTTGTATTATAGGGTCTGCAAACTCAAATGCCTACAGGAGTCAGACAGGCAACATAACTGGGAGATATTTATGCACCTCTTACATACAAGGAATTGTCTTTTCCTTAAGAGTTTTCTTCTAGTCTACAACCCCCTTGAAACACATAACTTATTACTTCGACTTTTAATAGAGATTTGAGTTTTAAAAATTTCCTTTTTACTTTCCTCTTAAAAAGTACCTACAGCACAAGATAATGATATGTGACAACTGAACATTTGGCTTTGATGTCAGAGAGTAATAGGGAGTGACAAAGAGTGTGGCAAACTAGAGATCTCATGCTCTGCCTAAAAGGGACAGCTGCTGTTCAGCTCTGGCCAAATACCACCATGCAGGAATTGGGCTACTGTGCTTAGAACTTAAAATTTTCACCAGACACGAGAAATCTAGGTTTTTATGCAAACTGTCCTAATTTTTATATGTTGGAATCTAATCTTAACAAAACAAACCAAAACCTGTGGGGCAAACAAAACATTTTCTAGTCTAATTCAGCTCTATTTGCTCCTAGTTTTTAACCCCTGTCATAGAATTTTGTTCATTCATCTTATGGTACTTAGAACCTGTCTAGTGCAGTAATTTTGCAACCAATGTGCTACAAGAATTTTTAAAGCATGCAATTCCTGACAATTTAATCAGGGGCACTGACCTCTTATTTTCTCTTTAATCCTCATTTGAGATATATTTTCCATTGATTTTTTAAAAATATTTTTTTTATTGATTTCAGAAAGGAAGGGAGAGATAGAAACATCAATGATGAGAGAGAATCATCAATCAGCTGCCTTCTACATGCCCCCACACTGGGAACTGGGCCCACAACCTGGGCATGAGCCTTGATTGGGAATTGAACTGTGACCTCCTGGTTCATAGATGGATGCTCAACCATGGAGCTACACGGCAGAGCTCCCTAAATTTCTAGAGAGAGTGAAAAAGAGAGGAAGAGAGAGAGAGAGGGAGAGAGAGAGAGGAAGAGAGAGAGAGGGAGAGAGAGAGACAGACATCGATTCATTGCCTCTTGCACGCACCTTGTTTGGGGCTGGGGATCGAATGTGCATCTAGGTACATGCCCTTGACCAGGAATAGAACCCAAGACCCTTTGGCCCACAGGTTCTGACCTCTTTTCCCTTAGGTTGTCATATAAAAAAATGATAAGAATCAACACAATAATAGCTGTGTGAATGACGTGTGTGTGTGTGTGTGTGTGTGTGTGTGTGTGTTTGTCAGATTGACAAAAAATATATTTGGTGTGCCGCGGAATTTTAGTAATTAGCTTATGTGTTCCATGAGATGAGAAAGGTTGAAAGTTACTGGTCTAATATAAGAGTTATTTGTGATTCTATTTATCTTACAGTCTATAAAATCTTTAAAGACAACAGCTATGTTTTATTCATTTCCAGATTAGCAATTAGCCTAGTCAAATAAATCAGTGGTGGTTGTGACTATTTGGTGAGTAGATTGATAGATATAATAATGAATGTGTAAGTGAGTGAATGAATGGTGAATAAAGATTGGTTATTTCATTTTTGGCCCATTACAGGTTTGAAACAACCTATTAGAGTATGTCACCAGCAATCCTGATGACAGCTGCATATGCCAGCTGAGGGCCCAGAATGAGACAAAACAAAACAAAAAACTGTAAGGGACAGATAGTAGAACTCAAAAAATCCCAGATGTCAAAGACAGCTAAACCAGCTGCTGTCTCCTCTCTGATCTTTTACTTGCAGTCTAACCTTCAATATCAGCAGGAATTCTTATTTGAGTCCTATTACTGTGATCTGTTATTCTACTTCTCATAAACCTACAGTGACTTCCAGTTTCCTCCCAATCAAATTGTGCATTTAACTAGGTGGCCCTACTTACACTCCACCCTCGATTCCTAACATTTAAATTTATGCTTTTCAGTTCAGCTAAACGCTCCATTTTCCTATCCAAAGGCCCTTCCCAATTGCTATGTAATTCTTCTCTGAACTCCCTCTTTTTCTTCCTTAAAAGCAATGCTCTACTATGATGCCTTATTTGGCTAGCCCACCTTATTCTAGGCAGGCCAGCATCTGTCAGAACCCTAGTATTTACTGGAGTTAATTCATACCAGCTAGTATTTGCTTAGTTCTTGCTGTAAGCCAGACTGTGTTTACATGCGTTACCTTCTTAAACATACACAACAACTTGGGCAGTTGGAAGTGTTATCCCATTTGCAGGTGAAAAAAACTGAGACTTAACGAGGTGACACAATTTGCTTAAGATACCTAAGCAAGTCAGTGGGGTTGGGTCAGATTGTGTACGATTTAGAGAGGCTCCTTGGGGCTTCAGTTTCTAGTGAGGTAGGCACAGGGTTGGCTGAAGACAAGTTGCAGGACTCGTCCTCTGTCTCTCTGCAGTGGAATCTGATGATGTATCTTTTTCATAAAAGGGGATGGGGTGGGAAAGAGGGACATCCTGCAGGGTAACAGACTGCCTATAGAAGGGTGAGCTCCCCAGCCCTGGAAGTGTTCAAGCAGAGGCTGATGCCCATCTTTAGGGAATTTCTGACCTGGCAGGGGAGTTAGATCACATGACAAGGTCTAGGGTCTTGTCCAATTCTGAGTTTCTGAGTGATTTCATGGTATAACTAAAGGCCAAGGGGTTCAAGATAAAATGTCAGTTTGTCGATTTTACTCATTATGTATCTAGGACAAGGTCATGCATGTGGGTCCACAAATGTCTAAAATAGGGTCATTCCCCTAAAATTGCATATAACTTTAATGCAGAGGACACAAGATAGTATCTGAAATAATGTAAAATATGGAAGATTATATAATTCAGACTTAAATTGGATTGTACAGCACAGTAAGAATTTAGGTTGGGGTAAATCAGACATGTAAATTATACTTTAGGAAGACAAGTTTCAAACAATTCAGAGAAAATGAACTTTCACATCTGAGAGAAGATAATTTAAGGC